AAAAAAAAAAAGCGAGATATAGTGCCCGCCTGTGGTCTCAGCTACTTGGAGGCTGAGGTGGGAACATCACTTGAGCCTGGGAGGTCGAAGCTCCAGCCTTGGCAGCGACAACAAAACCACCCTCCCCCACCCCGCAAAAAGCCCCAGCCGTATCAAGGCATTATTTCCAAACCATACAGTTCATCCATTAGAGACGCACAGCTGGATGACTTTTGACAGATATATCCACTCAGTTGCCATCACCATTATCAAGACACACAGAGCATTCCATGCAGGAGGAGGCTCCTTCATAGGTCCGCACTTTGTGAGGGACTCGCTGGGGGACAGCGGTTGCAGGTGAATCGTGCTCAAGCTGAGCTGCTCAAGCGGGAGTGGGCAACACCGGACCGCAGCACTCAGGCCCTCGCCAGCTGGAGGGGCCTGAATGGCAGAGAGGTCTGGAAGGGCAGAAGTCCTGAGTATGTAGGGCATTCCAGTGGATGATGATCGAGGCACCAGAGCAGGGCAAGGGGTGGAGCTTGCAGGGAGACAGCTTCCGCTCCAGGAAGGAGACGCTTTCCGTCACAGCCTGACCATGGAGTTAGCTGATTTGCATGGTGCTGGGCTCCTCTTTACTAGGGATGTTCTAAGAGAGGCTTAGCTTTTGTTTATTTAAGACAAGGTCTTACTCTGCTGCTGAGGTGGAGTGCAGTGGCACAAACACTGCTCACTGCAGCCTCGATCTCGCAGGCTTGAAGGATCCTCCCACCTCAGCCTCCCAAGTAGCTGGGACCACAGGCACGTACCACCATGCCCAGCTAATTTTCTATTTTTTGTAGAGGCAGGGTCTCACTATGTTGCCTAGGCTGGTCTTGAACTCCTGGGCTCAAGTGATCCTCCCACCTCAGCTTCCCAGAGTGCTGGGATTACAGGCGTGAGCCACTGTGTCTGGCTGGCTTAGCTTTTAGAAGCAGTCCTTCGGCCAGGCGCGGTGGCTAACGCCTGTAATCCCAGCACTTTGGGAGGCCAAGGCAGGTGGATCACGAGGTCAGGAGTTTGAAACCAGCCTGACCAACATGGTGAAACCCCGTCTCTACTAAAAATACAAAAATTAGCTAGATGTGGTGGTGGGTGCTTATAATCCCACCTACTTGGGAGGCTGAGGCAGGAGAATCGCTTGAACTCGGGAGGTGGAGGTTGCAAGGAGCCACGATGTGCCACTGTACTACAGCCTGGGTGACAGAGTGAGACTCTGTCTCAAAACATAATTAATTAAATAAATAAAAGCTAGCAGCAGTCCCTCATCTGTGTGGAATGTCCGGTGAGTGAATCCCCTTCCAGGCCCTCCCAGCTCTGGTGGCGGTAAAGGTGCTAGCTGTCACCTTCTCGGCTTTAAGGCCCAGCAGGCGCTGGGCTCAGCACCCTCGAGATTGGCCCCTGCGGCCTTCGTGGAGTGCTTGCCATTTCCATTCTGCAGATGAGGAAACGGTGAGGCCGGCACAGCTCTGAGTGGCAGAGAAAGGGACGGAGCCCGTCTGATTTGCCTCAGAGATCGAACTTGAACCCCCCAGGTTTTCATCTCCTAAGAGCTGTCTCCTTGAACTGTGCCCCGAGGCCAGCCGTGGAAGAGCCTTGGCAGACAGGAGTTGGCTCACTGGAGCTCTCACCTCCTGCTGTGTCAGCCTAGGTGGGTCGGCCTCGCTGACCCTTTCTTCATCCAAAAAGCAGGAAGAGAAGAGCTTGGCCGCCTGGACCCTGCCCTCAATTCGGGCAGAAACACAGGATCACTGCTGAACTTGGCCCCCCAGCGCCATGCCTGTAGGCCTCTGGGACCCCTCACCTTCCAGCTCTGGGACCTAGCACAAGCCGCTCCATTCTGCCTTGCCTTGCAACATGCACATCATCTAAGCAAACCTTCAAGAAATTCAGAAAGCAAAGGAAACAAAGAGAGCTAGGAGTCCCGAAGACGTGAGTGCTGTGTGGCCACTCGTAACGCAGGTTCTTGAGGGAGTGCCCGGAGCTCCCCAGGCCTCCACTTCTCCACCCCTGCAGGGCCTGCCTTGCTGGCCTGGCCACAGGGGCCCAGCAGCTCCTCCCACCGCCAGCCTGGCTCCCTCCACCTGGATGCCTCCTCCGGGCTGTTCAGCGCCTGTGGCCCAGGTGCTCGCCCTGCCGGCTTCTGGAAGACAGTCTTTGCTCCCTGGTCGTTTCCCTCCTTCCTTCTAGGCAGGTCAGTTAAAGGCCTGACCGTTCAAGTTCCACAAGACTCGGCCCCACTTTCTGAATGCCTGCTGTGAAGACTCATGACCTCAGGCACGTGGGTCAGCAGCCCCACTTTTCAGAAGAAACTAAGGCTCAGGGAAGTTAAGCAATTTGTCTGAAGCCGTATTGGGCTGAGAACCCAGGCCCCTGATCCTCCATCTGGAGCTCTCCGGTGTGCCCTGGGCAGCTCTGGCCCTGGCGGGAAGGACTGCAGCCCCCAGGCTCTGCTGAAGCCCACAGGAAGTGGCCGATGGAACATGCTGGAACACTGTAAGGGGGCAAACTGGGCGGGGAGGCCTGCATTTCTTGTTCATCTTCTTGGCCTGAGCCGTTAGTCTGTTTTCCTTCTCTCCAGGCAGTTCCCGGGTCCTGCGACTCTGACCTGGGCTGCAGCCCTGGGCCCCTCCTCTGGCGGCTGCCAGGATAGCTGTAGTCTATGGCTCTCGTCACTTCCTGCTGTGGCACCCCTGCAGCCACCTTAGAGCAGCAGGCTTAGGATGCCAGGCCCAAGGCTGAGCGCCGGCATGCGAGGTGTTTTGGGGACAGAAGGGCACAACCAGGGGATAACCTGCTTCCCCAGGAGTAACAGAGCAGCAGATGGTTTGGGCAGCTGGTATTTTGAACCTTGAAGCTTCAGGAGTGAAAATGACCTGATGGGGCCTGGCCCAGCTCTCCTCCTGGCACCCAAGTGCTGGCCGTGGACACATCCATTCCCTGCCCACGCAGCCTGCCCAGTGGCACCCAGCTGTGCAGCTGCCAGGGAGAAAGGCAGCTTTGTTGACCTCAGGGCCTGACGCCCAATCGTGGCAGGATCCAACCCGGGCAGGAGCAACCCTGTGCACGTGGGTGCCAGCCCGGGCTAGCTGGGCACCACCACCTCGGCCAGGTGCTCCTGGGACACAGGGACTTCTGCCCTCCTGAGCTCCCTGTCTTGCAGAGGAGTGGGTAGAATTAAAGGAGGTCCCTTTTGTTCAGAGAAATGGAGGCAGTCTTTTCATCGAGAAAGCTGCTCCCAGGACATGGAGCTAGCAGTGCCAGCCTCATCCTCTCCCTCCAGGGGGCTGCCCTCTCCCGCCACGCCACCCTCCCCACCACAGGCTCAGGAAGAGCGCATGACCCACTCCCTCCAACATGCAGAGCTGTGCAAAGACCGGGAGTTTTTTGAGATGGTCATTGTGATCCATTCTCTGCATCAGTTAATAAAGAGTAAAAAAACAGAGTTCTGAGCCTTATTTTTCTCTTTGGTCTTAAGCAGGTTTGGCAGGCCAGGGCTGTGCCCAATGCTGAGGGCAATTCCTCTTCAGGCATAAGGGGCCTGAAGCTGCCTGGCTTCGGGGGCAGCTGCGGGAGAAGCGCAGGGACAGGGAGCCCTGGGGCTGGTTCGTCTCCAAGACTCGGCAGTACAAGGTGCTGACTGGGCTCTGCTCTGTGCCTGCCGCTCGCCTGCAATGTGAGAATAAGTTTCCTCTCCTGCTTCCTTAGGTGCTGGGGTGAGCCCAGATGGCCCAGCGGATGGCTGAGGCGAGGGCAGGGTGGCTGCACACCTCCCTTCTCCTGGAGCTGGGCCTGCCTGGGAGTGCACTGGCCTGCCGGTGCTGTCTTTGGGAAGAAGATAAGGACCGCCTGCAGCTCGGGAGGGTTTCAGCAGTGGACAGGGCTGTGCACGGGCAAAGCCGCAGACCTGGGGAGTCGGGGAAGGGGTTGGTTGACCCTGTACAAGGTTGTGACCGTGTTCTCTGTTCTAGACAGGAATTCCAGGCTTGGACTGGAGTGAAGCCCTCAAGATCCACAAAGTCAAAACCAGCCAGAGTCGTCACAACCCACAGTTCGGGATGGGACAGCAGCCCTGGGGCGGGCTTCCAGGTTAGCCTGAGGCTGGTGCCAAGGTTGTGGGTACAGAGGCCGCTTTCCCAGGGCAGGGATTAGGAGCCAGAGTTTCATGTTGTAAAATGGCATTATGACCAGGGACAGCAGTGCCCAACCAGGTGTCCCGAACAAAGACCCAAGGTACTTCTTCGTCACTAGCCAGCTGGGTGCCTCTCGTGCTGGCGTCTGCTGAGCAGGCTCTCTGCCTCCTAAATCTCCATCTTATCATTGACCACGGAACACAAGTGACTGGCCCCTCCATACACACAGCATCTGCATAATAGGAAAGAGGCCTGGAAAGGAGCGGGGGCGGACCAAAGGGGTACCCGAGCGCTGTGCGGGGTGACACTGCGCGGGAGGCGGCCGGGGGCTGCGCGGGGTGACACTGCGCGGGAGGCGGCCGGGGGCTG